GGTAGGGCACAGTCAATTTGTGCGGGTTTCACACCAACAGCAAACAATTATTCGTTGATATTTGAAACGCTTAAAACCAAATATGAAGATAAGCGAATGTTAGCCTATTCATACTTTGACCAGATATTCGATCTTAAAGCTATATCATCCGCGAACATCACCGGCTTAGAGCAGTTTTTAGATAAATTTGTAGCATCGGTGGCTGCACTCAAGAACCTGAAATTTAATGACCTTATGGACGTGGTGTTTCTCCATATTGCCTTAAAGAAACTAGACCCCGACACCGTGCGTGTGTTTGAAATGGAGCATCGTAGTTCTGAGTTGCCATCATTCGATTCATTAGCATCCTTTGTGCGACATCAAATTAAGGTGATACAGCGCTCCTCGAATGTCAAACAAGAAGGTAAGAAATGTGTCGACCGCAGACAGATTTCATCAACTAGGACCGCTAGATCTCTGACGTACGTAACCGCTGCGCCTGCACCGCCTCATAGCGCCTGTGTTCTATGTAAGAATAAACAACACGGTAATTTGTATAATTATGCGACCTTCCGTAAACATTTACTCTGCGAACGTTATAGAATAGTAAAGACGAACAACATATACATACATACATAAACACTCACGCCTGTCACCCAGAGGGGTAGGCAGAGACTACAGACTTCCATTTGGCACGATCCTGACACACCTCTCTCGCCTCCTTCACATCCATACACCTACACATACATGCTCGTCGGTTAAGGGTACTCCTAATTTGGCCCGTTTTCAATAAATCGCCAATTTGGTCGATAAATTTTCGCCTAGGACGTCCCTTACCGACTCTGCCATTCACTTCTGCAACATAAATTTTCTTTGTCACTCTTTCCTCATTCATTCTTTCCACATGACCAAACCACCGAAGCATTCCTTTCTTAATCCTGGTCACAACATCATCTTGCAAACCACACTCTTCTCTTATTACACAATTTCTTACCCTATCGTTCAGATTCAGCCCTAACATACTCCTTAAGGACCGCATTTCTACTGCGTTGATTCTACTCTCATGCTTCTTCTGCCACACCCAACTTTCACTACCATACGTTAAAGTAGGGACCAACACAGCATTGTGAATTGCCATACGTGCCTTTTTTGACACATTTTGACTCTTCACAATAGAGTGCAGGGCCCCATTTACTCTATTTCCCGCATTCACTCGTCGTTCTATATCCTTATCATATCTTCCATCCCTGCTAAATACGCAGCCCAAATATACAAACTCATCTACTTGCTCGATCAACTCCCCTTCTATTATTATTTCACAACTCGTGTTACTTTCTTCTCTTTCAAAAACCATAACCTTCGTCTTACTTGCGTTCACTTTCATACCCCTTTCTTTTAATGATCTGTTCATTAATGTAACCATCATTTGCAACTCGGCCGCCGACGACGCAAGGATAACTTGATCATCGGCGTACAAAAGGCATTTGACGGTTAACTCACCCATTCTTAATCCGCATTCTTCAACTTTCAAATTTTGCAAACAACTGTCCATAAATAGGTTGAACAGCCACGGGGAAGCCACACAACCCTGTCTGACACCTTTATGGATGTCAAACCAGTCCGAGTAGACCCCGTTGATCCTAACACAAGCACTAGAGTCCCTATAAAGAGACTCCAATGCCTGTATCAAGCCAGCGCTCAACCCAAATGAGTTCAGTGTTTGCCATAGCACATCCCTATCCACTCTGTCATAGGCCTTTTCCAAATCCATGAACGCACAAAAAACCTTTTGGTTTTTGGCCAAAAACTTCTCCGCGATCATGCGCATGGAAAAGACTTGATCTGTACATCCCATTCCCTTTCTGAATCCCGCTTGCACATCCCAAATTTTTCCATCAGTTTCTTTCATGACCCTTTCAATCAGTACCTTAGCATACAGTACATAACATACAGTAAAGACGAACAACTTATGTTTAAATTGCCTAAGCGATAGACATTTAGTTGCTAAATGCAATTCTAGCTCCGCGTGTAACAAGTGCGCCAGCAGACATCACACGTTATTACATTTCGAAAGCGGCAACATATTGGCGTCAAGTAAATCGGACAAGGAAACCACACATACTAAAGTCGACGATTCTAGCGGTCGACTGGGTGACGTCGCTCTGTGCTCATTGTCGAATATGAGAACACAGTCTCCTTCCACCGTGTTACTGGGTACAGTCCGTATCGTATTTAGGGATTCGCATGGAAACGAAAAAAGTGTCCGTACATTGCTAGACAGCGAATCCCAGAGTAGCCTTATAATGCGGCAATGGTGTCAGCGTTTAGGATTGCCAATAAATAAGACACCTTCATGTCCCGTAGTCAAGGACATCCGAGGTACAAATAAAATTACCCAGGGCTCTATAAATTTTAAAATTTATTCTCGGCTAGATCGTAATATTAACTTTAACATTAAAAAAGTAGTAGATAAAGTCACTGAACGTCTGCCAACCGTTTCGGTTGACACCTCGGCAATGATTGATTTTGAAAATTTGACTCTGGCAGACGATACTTACGCCGTCCACGGAGAAATAGACATGCTCATTGGAGCATCACTTTTCCCTCATCTTTTGTTACACAATAAGGTCAGGGGCAATTCCTCGCATACCGCGCCTTACGCACTGGAAACCGTCTTGGGCTATGTCATCGTTGGCTCCGCCCCAATCATGGATAATATTTCGGCAACCTCTTATTGTTGATGGCTGTCGAACCGCTCGAGTCGTTAGTTCGCAAATTTTGGGAGATGGAGGAGGTGAACGTTCCACCTTTAGTTAGCCCAGATGATAGATTATGCGAGGAAATTTACGGCCACACGACCGTTCGTGATCGCGACGGTCGATATAGTGTAGCGCTACCCTTTAAAGGAGATGTTTTATCTCTCGGCGACTCGCGTCAAATGGCGGAAAAACGTTTCTACAGTTTGGAGCGTAGGATGCTCGCTTCACCCCGATTAAAGGAAGCTTATGACGGCGTTATTAATGAATATATAAGGGAGGGTTACATATCACTTGTGGCTCCAAAATTAGATAACTACGAAGACGCACCGTCGTATTTCATACCACATCACGGGGTCATTAGGGAAGACAAACTTACGTCCAAGTTACGTGGTGCTAGACGCTAGTGCTAAAACTAGCACTCACCTTTCTCTTAACGATATCCTCTATAGTGGGCAAAATTTACAGGGCAATTTATTTAATATAATAGGAAATTTTCGTTTGTTCAGTATAGCGCTATCCGCCGATATTCGCCAAATGTTTCTTTGCATAGGGTCCGTGAATGCGACCGTCGATTTCAACGCATTTTATATCGCTTCGACCCGAAGGAACCTCTAATGGTGTTTGAATTTAATCGCGTTTGCTTTGGTTTAAAGTCGAGCCCATTTCATGCGCTACGTACGGTGAGACAGCTCGCCGCCGACGAAGGTCCCTCCTATCCTAGAGCTAAAAGGGCAATTGAGAGTGGATTATATATGAATGATTTTATGTACTCGGTCAATAGCGTGGGGGAGGCCATCCTAACCACAGCCGAGGTTAAAAGCGAAAGGTACGATACTTGTAAGTAAGAGGCCACGAGACGTATTAGACGATCGGGGAGACCTATTTTGTACAGTTTGTAGATAAGGCCTGTATGCCAGACTCTATCGAAGGCTTTAGCTATGTCGAAAAAGACCGCGATGGTTTTATGACAACGAGGATAAAAACCGCTGAGGATATATTCCACAATACGGTGAACTTGTTGGGGACATGAGTGTTGCGCTCGGAAACCGAATTGGTGGGGAATGATAAGAGGGTCACCGTCTGTGGGAAACAGATAGCGCCTCATACGAGTTTGGATGACTCTTTCGAAGAGCTTGCCCATTGCCTTGAGGAGGCTAACGGGGCGATGACTGGAGGGGAGGTTGAGAGGCTTGCCTGGCTTGGGAATACCAATCACAGTTGCTTCTTTCCACGTAGTGGGAAAGTAACTAAGGTTGAAGCAGGCGTTGAAGATAATAGATAAAAAGGTTAACACCTGCTCAGGAAAGTGTTTTAGGGCTTGGTTGGAGATGCCATCCGCGGAGAGCCTTTTTAGACTTAAGTCCTTTGATGAGGGATGAAATCTCATCATTGGACACAGAGATAGGTTCGGAGGCTGTAGGGGGTGAGTTCCGGCGGCGGACCTCATCCTCCACTGCCTGAACGTGTGAGGGGTCGATGGGTTGAGAGCTAGGAGAGCATTGTGCGGCAATGCTATCTGCAAAGCACTCAGCCTTTTCCTCGTCCTCGAAGGCAACCGTACCGTCGGGGAGAGAGGGGGAGTATGGGTGATAGCGTCTATGCGGAGGGCTCTAGCCATCTGATAGTAGTCTGTATGAGATGGAGAGATATTCTCCATGAGTATACTCTTTTCGAGGTCTCGAAATTTAGAGAGGCAGAAACGGATTTCTCGTTGAAGACGATTGGCCGTGCGCCTATATTCGGGGGTGGGATACTTTGCTGCTCTCCGGAAAGCAGCTTTTTTGGCTTTTAATGGGTTGCTAATATGTAGGGGAAGCCCACTATAGTTAGCAACCGGGACGACCCTTTCGTTCTCCTTAAGGGAGGATTTAATAAGGGTGGAGAGTGAATCGACCGCGGTGTCGATTTTTTCGGGACTGTCTAAGTCCGACGGTAGGGAGGTGGTAGAGTCCTGTGAGTCCAGAGCTTTAGCTAGGGACTCCTTGAATCCCTTCCAATTAGTGAAGGTTTTCGTGTGTGTTGGGGGAGGTGGCTGACGGCCAAGAATGATTTAACGCTTTCCTACGGACACATTTTTATACAGAGTCTGTACTACTTACTTCTACACTTCATAATTGCTTCCTTTTTTACTGGCGGGAGGAAGAAGCGCGTAATTTTAAATTAAAATCTCAAAAGTCTAATTGTTTTATAATAATTGTGTAATAGTTTCAACTTGTGAAGAAAAACTAACAATAACTACTTTTTTTTACGAAATAAACAGAAATGTCGTCTGATAGTGACGGCATCAGTAAAGCCATGGATCACGACTCGGGCGGGAAAAGAAAACCGCCAAAACGTAGTCAAGATGTGCAGCGGGAAAACGATGATTTCTATAAGCCATTTTACAAATTAAATTATAAAAGAGTTTTTCCAGAGTTAATAGGAATGGCTGAATACACGGTTTTTATTGAGAGTCGTAAAGAAGGAGTTAAATTAGGAAATGCGAATCCCTTAATATTGGCGGGATTTTTCAAAAACGAAATCAAAGAACTCACTAATATAAGAATAATAAACGCTTCTAAAGTAGGAGTGGTATTTGCGCGGACGATTAACGCCAACGACTTTTTAAAAAATGAAAGTTTCCTAGAGAAGCATGATTAGAAGGCATTTATACCAGCAAGAGCGGTGGAAACAATCGGAGTACTCAGGTATGTTCCCTTCAGCATAAGTAATGAAGAGCTTTTTTAAAAAACTATCATTTGGATGGATTTATTTCAATATAGGGTGCATCAATATCATATATTGCCCCGCTTTTTACAATATTTTAAATGCTTTAAAATCAATCACGGAGCAAAAATTTGTAAATCAGTGCAACGGTGTTCAATTTGTGCAGATGAACATCGGTACACTGAATGTAAGGAAAACGCGGTAATTAAATGCATAAATTGTAGCCCTCATGTCGCAATTTCTAGAGATTGTCCAATAAAAAAAACTAAAAATCGATGAAAAATATAATAGGTCTACTTATGCTAAAGTCTTACAAACAAAACAAACTCAAATTTATACAAGAATTATAATGCAAATTTTCCTTCAATGCCTACAAAAAAACAATGGATTCATAAACAGTAGATCAATCACAAGTTAAATCTAATGACACTCCTAAAGTACACAAGTCAAAGACGGAAACTACCCAAACTAATACTACAAATGACAATATTTTGAAAGCAATTATTAGAGCATTGGTGGCCATGGGTAACTCAGGCTGTAAACTGACTACATCAAGTATAAAAGAAATGCTTATAGTAATAAGCATTTCTTAAATACAATACAATGAATAAACAATTTATTCGAATTTCACAATTTAAAATACAATCTGTTAATAATGAAAAGCCATTGCTTATTAATTATCTAGTTGAGAATGATATAGGTACTTGCTTGTTAAATGAAACTTGGCTGCGAGAGAATAGAACCGTCAACATTCCAAACTATAATTTCATTAATCAGAATGGAAAAAATATTTTCAAATATTATAACTATAATTTCATTAATCAGAATGGAAAAAATATTTTCAAATATTTTGTTGTGCCCACAATGTTCTCAGTTCAATGTTTATATGCAGTCTGTAGCTGTAACCCTTACTGCAACTCTAGGTAATATATCCATTTTATGTGTCCTCACCTAGTGGAGGGTGCTTTAAGGTTAGAAGATTAAGGTGGATTAGGTGAGTTAAATGCTCATCACATTGCTTTTGGATGTCTCACAAAAAACTGGAGGCACTGATATCTATAACATGTTGGACGAATGTGATCTTTGCATATTAAATAATGGATCTCCAACTACAGTAGGAAGCATTAATTTTAATCGTTCTTCTATTGATCATTCAGGTGTTAGTCCTTCCTTAGTTCCTTTATGTGATTGGCATGTACATGATGATCCTATGGGTAGTTATCACTATCCAACCATAGTCGACTTATATACTTGTGTTGAAAAATATGAAATAGGAGAACCTTGTGAACGTTTCAATTATGCAAATTTTGAAAAATTCACAATTGATATATTCAATTTGCTTGATACTTATGAAAACTTCTGCACCACACTTCTAGAAATAAGGAAAGACCGTATAACCATAATTTCCAAACCTAATATGTTTGTTATGAGAAAACCAGTTCCTTGGTGGGACGCGGACTGTTTGGAAGCTGTAAAGAAAAGTAAAAATGCTCTAAGATTTTACAAATTAAATCCGACAGTAGAAAATTATATAGAATATAAAAATATTGATGCATTCAAAAAAGATTAATAAGTGAAAAAAAGAAAACAAGTTGGAGACGAATTTGTGATTCATTTAATAGATATACTCCAATAAATTATATCTGGAATTATATTACGAGATTTAAAAGGGTACCTGCATATAAGCCATCAAAAAATTATTATTGGATTCCTTCTTTCTTAGATAAATATATTCTCATAACAACACCACCATCTGAAAAGGAAATAGATATTTTAAATTTAAATACAATATTTAATCTGATAGGTACTGACAGTAGCTCTTTTCTATTGAAAGAATTTACTTGGCATGAATTTACTACAGCTATCCAATCAAGGAGAGATTCCACTCCAAGATTGGATGATATTTCATATAAACTTATTAGCAACATGCATGTTAATGGACAAAAAACTATTTTAAAAATCTTTAATATGCTTTGGGACAATCAATGTATTCCAAAGTCTTGGAAAACGCAATGTATGATACCTATTTTGAAATCAGATAAACCAGAACATGACTTCAACTCCTACAGGTCAATTTCACTTTCCTCTAGTGTAGGAAAATTATTTGAATACATGTTGAAAAACCAATGATTTCAAAAGGAAGGATAGGCCCGTCTAAATGATTTAGTCATATATAAGTCAATGTGAAAAACAGACTAGACTATTACATAGAAGCAAATAATACTTTACCTGAACAAAAATTTGGTTTCCGGAAAGGAAAAAGTGCGGCAGAGTGTTTTGCCTCTTTGATCTCAGATATAAATCGTTCATTTACCAGTCATGCAACTACAGTTTGTGCATTTATCAATATACAAAGTGCATTTGATAAGGTAGATCCTTCCATATTGGCAAATATTCTGTGTGAGCTTGGTATTCCCAGAAAATATGTAAATAGATTTTTAATTTGCTATATGACCGAACATTGTATGTTAAATTTAATAACATAATATATGGCCCTAGAAGTGTATACAAAGGCACTATGCAGCGTGCTACTATATCTCCCTTGTTATATTATCTATATGCATGTTTAATAAGTAAATATATTACAAATAGAAATGTAAACTATTTGCAATTTGCTGATGATCTACTTGTATATCCTGTAATAAAGATGTAAATATAGCTGTAAACAATTTAAATTTAGCATTAGAACAAATTCATGATTTTCATTCAAATAAGTTGAAATTAAACATTAGGTCTAGTAAAAGTGGAGCTCTTATTTTCTCCAAAAAATACTATTTATGTGATATTTTTGTAAAATACATCACCGGCACGGAAACTTGGCCAAGCGGTTATCTCGCGATAGCAAAAGCTTTAAGTGTTTCTGATGAATGTTTGTTATGCAAGTATGTCAAAAAATGTTTACCCTCAAGTTCAAGAGGGTAATTCATTATGTTTAAGTGCACCATGACGAATTCTTTAATTTTTAGTTGAATCGGGTCATTTGAGCGACTAAGTTCACATTTTAAATTTGTGTGTTGTGAAAAGTTTACTGTAAGGTTATTCAATTATTGTGATCTTGTGTCTTAATTAAATAACTAAAGGTGCTTTAAAGCCAATAAAAATGCCATTAACACCAGCACAAGTTGCACAAGCAGTAGCATTAATTGACCAAGGGCTGACACAGCGCGAAGTTGCTATTGTGCTTAACGTACCACGGTCCTCAATGCAGTATTCACTGAAACGATACCAGGAGACAGGCCGCTACACCCGCAGGCCAGGCAGTGGGGGGCGTAAGGTGCACATCGGCCCGGGATGATCGTTTTATTGTTATGGAGATTTTGAGAAACCGCTACCTGACCGCTGTTGAGATACGCCAGCGGCTCCAAATCGCAAGAGGCGTTAATGTTAGTGAGCGTACGGTGAGAAGACGAATGGAGGAAGTGAATTTAAAAGCTCGTAGACCAGCACGAGGTCCAGAACTTCTCAGACAGCACTGAGTAGCCCGACTTCAGTTCGCAAGAGAACATGTCAATTGGACCCACGAGCAATGGGCTAGAGTGTTGTTCACAGATGAGTGTCGAATAGCTTTACGTGCTCCAGACGGTCGAGAACGAGTGTAGAGAAAAAGAGGAGAGAGGTTTCTACCCATTACCTCCACCCAAACTGTGAGTTTCCATGGAGGCTCAATAATGGTATGGGGAGGTGTAAGTTCCGACGCACGTACAGAGTTGGTCATCGTCGATAATCGGCTTACAGCTACTCGATACATCGAGGAAGTTCTTCAGGAGCACGTAATGCCTTATTCGGGATTCATTGGACACGACCAATTCCTCCTCATGCACGATAATGCACGCCCGCACGTCGCACATTGTGTAGAGGAATATCTGGAAGAGGTTGGAATACAAAAATTACAGTGGCCAGCTCGTAGCCCGGACATAAATCCAATTGAGCATGTATGGGGTATGCTCAAAAGAAAGATAAAGTCCAGCTCCAAACCGCCACAAACTCTAAATGAGCTCCGAAATGCAGCGCTGGCCGCTTGGGACAGCATACCGCAAGTTGATGTCAGAAACATCATTCAAAGCATGCCAGATCGAATGCAAGCGGTTATAAGGTCTAGAGGAGGAAACACCCGATATTAAAACTGATAGACAATAAAGAAACAGACTTAATTTTTAACTTTGTAGTGTTTTTTAAAGTGACAATGGAAAGATGTTAATTTTAGTGAAAACATGTTATCTTGAAAAGAAAAATTTCGGTGAAGTAAACATTAAATTTCTATGTTCTAAAACCATTAGAGACACTTATTGAATGCATCTACCCTTAATTTACTGTTAAAAAAACGTTTCAGTGCAAATAATCAGCAAATTCACGAGTGGCCAAGTTTCCTTGCCGGTTGATGGCTTATATGCAGGTACCCTTTTAAATCTCCTAATATAATTCCAGATATAAGTTATTGGAGTATATCTATTAAATGAATCACAAATTCGTCTCCAACTTGTTTTCTTTTTTTCACTTATTAGTCTTTTTTGAATGCATCAATATTTTTATATTCTATATAATTTTCTACTGTCGGATTTAATTTGTAAAATCTTAGAGCATTTTTACTTTTCTTTACAGCTTCCAAACAGTCCGCGTCCCACCAAGGAACTGGTTTTCTCATAACAAACATATTAGGTTTGGAAATTATGGTTATACGGTCTTTCCTTATTTCTAGAAGTGTGGTGCAGAAGTTTTCATAAGTATCAAGCAAATTGAATATATCAATTGTGAATTTTTCAAAATTTATAATTGAAACGTTCACAAGGTTCTCCTATTTCATATTTTTCAACACAAGTATATAAGTCGACTATGGTTGGATAGTGATAACTACCCATAGGATCATCATGTACATGCCAATCACATAAAGGACCTAAGGAAGGACTAACACCTGAATGATCAATAGAAGAACGATT